GTCCTCACACAAGAAAAGCAAAGGAGCCTCAGACACAGAGGGAAGGGGCTTCCCAGGGCGCTCTGCACTGTAAGGTACAATGAGCTATGCTGATGAGGGAACACGGGCATAAAGGTCAACTGATTAAGGAGAGCAAGGAGGCAAAAGTAGGGGGATTGGGGGAGCAGACTCCTAACTGAGACTCTCTAAGGTGATCGCTTTATGTTTTACACTTCAGGTGACGCCTTGTAAGAGTCAACACTTACAGACGCAGGCCTAACAATGAAGGGGTTCGCTAACTGTTACGGTCGGCATTGAAAATTCACAACAACCCCTACACAGACGAGGTCAAAACACATGGAGATCCTTCGACTCTGACGAAGAATTGTTTTATGATTTCCTGTGAGGTTAAGCATTATTTAGGTATTTTTTTTTACCTCCTTCTTGGGCCTGAGTGATGGTAACATGGTTGCCATTTTCCAGATGAGGAAGCAGAGGCTTTCCCAGGTTATTCAGTGGAACAGCTTCAGCCTGATCACCGATGTCCTCAGTGATAGCGACCTTTCCCTACACCAGTGGTTTCAAAGTGTGGTCCCTGGGCCGACAGCATCGGCATACCTGGGAACTTGTTACAAATACAAATCCTTGAGCCTCCCCCTCCCTACTGGGTCAGAAATGTTGGCCGTGAAGCCAACAAACAGCCTGTTACCAAGTCAGTCCCCTGATGATTCCGATGTATGTTCGGGTTCAAGAACCGCTGCTTGAGCCACGTAGGACCCTGAGCATAACTGCTGACTTTACTCACTGCAGAGAGTACTTGAGGTCTGTTACATAGTTTTTGTTTATTTTAAGGTTTTTAAAAACCATTTTTGAACAAATGTATGTTACTTATAGAAGATAATTTCATAAACCACGACCACGTGAGCACAGTTAGGGAGCAGGTATGATGAGGGAGATGCCAGCTTTACCATCTACTATTTACATAATCTTGGCAAACTACAAAACCTCTGTAAATTTGGAATGTTTCAGTGGTAAAAATGACAATTAAAATGATGACAGTGTACACAAAAACTACTAAGCCAGTGCCAGAGATGTAATAAACACTCAATAATAAATGGAGTAAATACAGGTTTGATTATGAACATCAGCAATGAGAATAATATTGGTAACATTGTAACTAACTGAATGAGTAGTGAAGCTTGTGGATTATACATGTACGCTGTGAATTAGGGATGCTCTCTACTTGCTGTCTTTATTATAGAATGGTCTTAAATGTTTTCAAATTTGACATGAACATGTATTATGTACAGTTCATACGTTGGGGAATGGATATCACTATTTCTTAATTCTTTAAATTAAATACTTTAAATCTTGAGTCAATATTGGATTAAAGCTTTAAATTGTGCCTTTTAATAGTATTTTAAGAATAGTACATTATTGTGGACATGTATTTGATTTCAGGTTACATTGTTTGGAGCCAAACAATTAGAGAAAAACCCACAATGCCCCACTGTGATCTCTGTACAGTTAACTGTACAACCTTGGCAGTGTTTTAACATAGACATTTCCAAATAACATTTCACCTACAGTGGTGATACACTCCCTGTATTTCACTCAGTGAAACACAGGCCTGTTATTTCGTGTTTATTTGCAACAACTGGTGGAAAAATTATTTCTCTCCCCTTTACTGTCCTTTTTATACATCAAAGAAGCCGCCATGTTCTCTGAATCCCTTTTGTTTTATTTTTTAGAGTGAGGTTTTCAGATCTCACAAACTACTCTCATGGTTGTTGTTTTCAAAATCTTTTTTATGATGTGTATTGTTCTCCACCAAATACCTGGCGTTTTGTCTCTTTTCTGAAATGTGGGATTCTGTTGAACGTAATCCCCAAATTGAAGCCTGGCAAGACCTGGCTGTAGTTCAATTTGTTTTAATGCACAACACTACCACTCCAATTCAGCATGCTTTAGCATTTGAATATCTTAACAGGAATCAGAATACGGATTCAATCAATTTATCATCCACCACAATTCTTGAATTTTTCTCTCTGCTGCTACCATCTCCAGCTATTCCTTGCCCTTTCTGGTCCCATCATCCCCCTCCCTGCATCCACTTTCACATCCATTCCAGTCATTTTCCTGATTCTGATGTCACTAATCTCACCCAGCTCTCCACTGCATCAATACGATGCCACATACAAGTGCAGCGTCCCAGAGATTTGCAGTCCCCGCCATCTCTGTGATTCATTGTTCTTCAGATTTGTTAGAATAAATATAAATATCTGAAAACATTTCATAAGGATATGTCTACATTACCTCTAGTGTTGTTTTTTAAGATAAATATTTGCAAATTACTCTTTTTAAGGTTCCAGTTAAATAACAAACAATCACACAAAGATGACTAACCTATTGTTACATGCACATTTAATGAGAAATCTTTCTCTACCCCTCATTGACTCAAATTAAGAAAGTTAAACTCAGCACTAACTACAGGACTATATTATTATTTCATTATTAAGCTGTCATCTAAAAAATCCAGATGAAATCTCTGATCCTCACACATAGGTAGCCAAGTGGCTGTCGTGGCCCTGGCTGCAGGAGGTCCCTGTGTGTGCTGGCCACATCATACGGTTGGTTAAGCAAATCTTAGTCAACACAGGAGTTAGTTCCACTTAACATGTTCAACTGCCCAGTTACACAAGAAAGCCAAGCAGAGACTATAAAATTAAGGAAGTGAATGACAAAAGAACCTTAAAGTGTTTGCCTCAAATTTAATTGTTTTGCCACAAATAAATGGTAGAGTTATCAAAACCCAAAAGAGCTGACACCTTACAGGAACTTTCATTAGTAAGACAATTATGAAAGTAATGGATTGTTCAAATTTGCAAGTCAAAAAATCACTGCACCTATTTAAATTAAACAGCAACCCGTGTACCTTTCTTCTGTCTGGAATCCCCTCCTCCCACCGTCCACATCCAGAAACACTTACCCGGCTGTTAGTACCGGCACGTCCTCTAACAAAGTCCTACTCCTCCTTCTGAGGCAGAATGAGGTCCCTCCCAGACAGTAATCCTTCCCTTCTTGAGGTTCATGCCCTATCCTGTGCTTAGTTCCTTTAAAATAAATCTATTTGTGTAAAGTATTGTATCGTTTATTAATTTGGGGATCCACCTCCTTGCTTTCCAGCTACCAATGGTACCGAGAACAGATCAATAAAAGTTTGTTAAATAAATGAATTATTTTAAAAGCAGCAGTTTCTCAATGACTAGATTTTTAAAATGTTGGCAGTGATGATCACATTTGATGTCCTCTAGTGAAATTATGTTGATGCATTAGTGTAAGCCTAATTTTAATAAAATGTTAACTTTTTTATTTTTTTGCAGTTTTTGGCTGGGGCTCCCAGCCACCTCCAGCTTATGGGGCCAGCGCCCTACTCCTTTGAGCCACAGGCACCTCCTGAAATGGTAAGAAATGTTTTTACATGTATAAACTCATCAAAGGGTTGAAAGGGCAGTGCCTGTGGCTCAGTGAGTAGGGTGCCGGCCCCAAATACCGAGGGTGGTAGTTCGAACCTGGCCCCGGCCAAACTGCAACAGCAACAAAAAAAAAAAAAGAAAGAAAGAAAGAAAGGGTTAAAAAAGAATTACCAGCCATGTCTGTTTATAGCAAAATAGAGCAAAAACAAATAAAAACCCTAAAGGAAGCAGAGATGGTGATTTCTAAATAACACATATCATCTTTTTTTCTCACGTATATGATATATGCTTAAATAAAATAAAATTTTGGCTGTATTAATTTTGGAGAAATACTGTTTTCATGGTCTAATTATATGTGGTAGAATTAAAGGAGGTGGTAAAAATGAGTAATTTTGTGTAACATTTTGAGGTCTAATAGAATAGTTTCCAAAAGACTTGGTAAAAAGGGCAATAATTAGTGAAAGTTTAAAAAACGAGATATTTTAGTTCTAGAGAAGATTGATGGCAGATTAAATCACTATCTGCAAATATATAATGGATCAACTGACAGATAATGGTGACTAAATAGCTTCTTTTCACTTAGTGTAGGACCAGGGACAATGAACTTAAGGGACAAGCAGAAAACGCTACAGAAGGTGAAACACTGAGAGGAAGTGCTGAACAGCGCGGGAACGATGCACCCCAGAGACCATTAGGGCAGGAGAGCTCCCGTGGATCTAGAGTCGGTTGGATATAAAATTAAAACTAAATAACTCTGAACAAGACAAACACCAGTTCACTTCATAAAGTCGGCCATGTAGTTCTTTATGTTTATCCGAAACAAGTCCCTTTGTTTCTTGTTCACCAAATCATCCCCATCACCCAGGTCAGGTTCCACTGCAGCACAGAAATAGCACTGTCTGTACAAACTGCCTCCTAGCAAGAGTCCTGGAGGAAGGACTCGGGTTAATCATGCAGGGAAGATACTGGAGAAGGTCGGACACTGGTCACTCAAAGTAGGAAAAGAAACAATCAGAAAGGCCTTTAGAAATGTAAAGATACCTTGAGAAGTTTTAAAATACCAAGGTCAGAAGACCAATGATCTTTGATTATTTTTATGTTTAGTATTCTTTTTATTAGCAAGTGACATTTAATACAAATTCATAACCTTTTTGATTTAAATATTAATACTTGTTTTGCTACTTTGTTTATATCATATGCTGGCAATTATTTTATGAATAAATATTACAATCTTTATAGAGAGTTTGAATTAAACTTAATTATTTTGTTCTCATGGGCTGGCAGAGCTTTCAAAGCTTGAAATAAGGTGGCAACTTAGGTATGTAAAGCACAAAGACATAGTTTAAAAAAATTAACCTGAAGTTTGGTGAAATGTTCCAAAGATAAATGTATTGACGCTTTCACATTGTTTTCTAGTAAGCTTTGAACCTGAAATAAATAAAGTTCTGCTGTGCTTTTTTGCTGTTTTTTCCCCTTGATAAATAAAACACATCCACTGAAAATCTGAAAATCCTATTAAATAATATAGAATTCAGTGCAACTAACCTGTTTCTGTTGCTGGAAATCCAGTCTGAGATAAGTGTTGATGCCTGCTGGTGACAGTGCTTGTTGCCAAAACTGCAAGCCAGCATTATGACTTCTCTGCGCAGTTCTCTAGACATGATTCAAAAAATAATAATAAAGTCAGAGAGCAACTCGTTACATAAAGAACAGATCAGCAAATTACTAATACAAAATAGTTTTTAGATCTGGATATCTTATGCTGCTGAGTAAAAGACACTTAGCAGACTGGGAGTGAAATGTGTTAAAAATCTTGCCTGGAAAAAGTATTCCAGTGAGAAGCATGGGTTTTGATCTCAATATGATCAATAAAAGCAGATCTTAAATTAAAACATAGCAAGGAAATGTCTTTGTTCTGAGGATCAGATGATGGAAACTGTGCCACCCAGCAGCAGCCCTCCCAGGACAGTGAAACACAAGGTGGAGAATGAAAGAAAGATGGTCTCATGTTGCACAAGTCACAGTGGCACTAGTAGGATGTGATCGTACAGCTCTGGAGGAAAAGAGAGAACAAGAAAAAACAGTACTCATGCTGGTAGGATGCTTGAACAAGAGAGCCATTGAAGTTGTTCTTCGGCCATCCAAGCTTGATGTATGTTGTTGCAACTTGCTTTAAAATATATTCCTAAGTGGAGGTAGGAGAAATAAAGATGAAGTCAGTTTCACATCTCTATGATGACAGTTAAAATTCTTGTGGATACTATCCATTCCCATACTACTGATGAGACTACCGAGGCTCAGTGGGGTCCAATACTCTCCCTAATCCATGGGTGGGTTGACTTCTTCATTTATTCAGTGAGTGTCACTGAGGGTCCTCTAAGTGTCAGGCTCTATTCTAGGGGCTGGGAATATAACCACCATCTTCCTCTTTGTGAACAAGGTCCTTGCTTCCATGGAGCTGACAGGTTAGTGGCAGAAAACAGACACTCATCGAATAAACAAGCTGATGTCAGGAAAGGGTTTGGTTAATTAACACAAAGAAAAACAAAGCAAACCAGTCACGGGGGTGAGCATTTCAGATAGGGGAGCAAGTTAAGAGGATGACAGCCAAACAGGGTCCTGATTAGTGAAAAGGAGTGAGCCATTAAGATCCAGAGGGAGAATGTCCAGGCAGGGGACCAGTATGTGCAAAGGCCCTGAGGCAGAAGTGTCCTCAGGATGTTTGAGAAACAGCAAGATGGCCAGGTGTTGAGGGCGACCATGGAAGATGTGACAGCAGAGAGGATGTGGGTTCAGACCATGCTGAGTGTTGCAGCAGCTCACAGACTAGATTTACTCTGATTTGGAGGGGAAGCAATTGGGATGGATGTGAGAGCCGAGCAACAGAACTGTTCTAAGTTTAATAATAAAAGATCTGCTCGGCAAGGATGTCACACACCCTGTAGTAGCAGCAGTAGAAATAGTAGTAGGTAGTAGTGAGAAGAGTGACAGGAACTTTGAAGTGGGGCTGAGAGACGAGGAGAGGCCAGAGATGAGCCCAGACACTCTGGCCCGCAGGTGCAGCCTGCGGAAGAGGAGGGGTCTGTCTGGCATTGCTCGCAGGGTTTAGGCCTGAGGAATTGGAAGGATAATAGTCCTCCCCAATTTTAAATAGGCCCACTTCCAAATATCAGTAAAATTACAGGCAGACTAATTCTCTATGTTATGTTTATTCAAATCAGCATTTCAAAGACAGAAAAGAAGGCTAAAATGCTGTTGGAATGGTAGAAGTCTGCTATTCCCTTGCTATTTATATGACTAAATGTTTTAGATGACTGTTTTTGCTCCAAAATGAAGCAAATGAAGAATATTGGCAATAGTACCCATGCATGTACATATGCTATATGAAAATGCACATCTAATAATTTCTGCCTTTTATGTCAATAGAACGTATTTAACGTGAAACTGTTATACCGGCTCAGCCAGTAGCCTAGCGCTGATGAAGCTGAGCCACACAGCGCACTTCCGCGTAATGACGCGGCGTTTCAAAGTCAGCAATCCATTCAGCTGATAGTGTGTTTAAATGTCGGCCTCAGCGGAAGATATGCTCTCCCTCATTTTCATGTGGTCCTTGAATTTTGTCAAAGGAATGAAAGCACTAAAATTACGAGTAGCTGACATGATCCACTATCCTAAAGTATAAACAGGTACAAAAGTGCATTTTATATTTACAAAAGCTTAGTATTGCAGTGCCTCTGTGTTGTGGAGAAAGAAAGTGTTATATGTCTTTCTCTAGCAGATAAAAATTATACCATAACTATAATGACCCATTTGTTCACATGTCTGATGTAAGGCCTCAGTAAAAACTAATAAACAGTTGAGCCACAACTACTCCTATAAAAAAAATTTACGAAAGTAGGATTCATTTTGGGTAGAGGTAGATTCAAAATGAAAAAAGTAAGCAACTAGAATGGCCACCAGATAACCTAGATGGCTCAGATTTCATGTCATGCGTTCCAGTTTTGAGTAATTCCAAATGTGTAGATTGATTAGCAGAGTCAGTGATATAATTACAAATAGAGTAATTTTATAAAACACGGGCAGGCTTTTAAAATAACCAAAGGAAAACAACTAGTGCACAAAGGTGATAAAAAACACAGTGATAAAAACATTTAAGAATCCAAAGCTCATTAGCAGTATCTAATCCTAATGTTATTCTAAATGATGATTAAATCAGATTAGGCAGTGTCAGGGGCGACCGTGGCTTATCGGGCTCTGGTGAGGAACTCCGGTCAGGCAATATTTTGGAATGTTTGTCATGTCTCCTCGTCTATTTGGATTATCTGTTGTTTGCTCGCTGGTATCCCCTTGGACCCAATTATGAATGGGCTTTTGCCTCAGTGTTGATCTTATCCTTGTTAATTAAGGAAGTGAATTGAATTCACTATGCCCTTTTGGATAAAAATAATGACTAAGAATCTTTACCGAAACTGCCTATATTCAGTTAAGAACTTTGGGATCCCTGTACCCAGGTTAAGTCCTTTGTGAACACAGAGCCCTTTAACTCTTGGAAAGTAAGTCTGAATTTTAAGGATTTACCATACATATGCATTCTTAAATTCTGAAGCACTTAAGCTTAATTGACACTTTTAGGCCAGAACAAAAGGTAGCTTGCATTAAATCTCTTCTTTAAATAATTGTCATCAGTATTGCATAGAAAATCAGGACAAAAATGATTAACACCAACTGGAAGAAGGAACTGAAATAACTCAGGGTCACTTGCATATTGGAGAAAATGAGAAAACAGTTTATCTTCTAAAAATTAGAAAGAAGAAATTATATCTTTTTACATTGAAGACGTTGTAGTTCTCCATTCGGTCCAGTAATTTATCTAGAGGATAAAGAGCTCGGCTGGCAGCGTGCCAGGGAAGAAAATCCTTCTCCGCAGACAGGTATCTCAGAATCTCCAGGGGAATATTCTGAGGCAAATAGCCAGCCCTGTGCAGTAAAAAAAAAGTTAATGTTAATTATATGCAGAAAAGATACATGATGATGCAAAAATGAAGATTTTCCTTATGCAAATAAAAGGAAGAAAGCAAGATTCATCACAGTAGAAAGAATCATATTCACGCTATAAAAATAAAATTACCCTTGTTTTAAATATAGTCCCATGTAGGATGCCAATGCCCCTGAATATATACAGGGTAGAAAGTTAAAAATTTACATGAATACAAAATATCAGAATGCATATTTTTAAAAAGGAAGGAATTAAGAAATTTTTAAAAGCAATCCTAGGTATGTCCCTCACAGAAACTCTTCAGAGATAACAAAGAGCTGAAAATAATTGATTGTGAAACGTAATTTTAGTTTCTCCAGGCTCTTTTGACTTTTCAGGCAGCTCTGTGTAACACGTAATGCACATTCATTCAAAAAGATCAAATTAATGTGTCCATTTATAGTTTTTGTGCATCTATGTTAGATTACAATATAAAAGTCTTTCAAACCTGTTTTGTAAATTAATTTCCATAACATCTATAAACATTAGAATTAGATTTTAATAAAGTACAAATTATAAAAATGTTAAAAGAAGTGTCTTTGCTATTCTGGTTCCAAATAGATGTCATGTCACTAATATCAGATGTTGAAGCCCTTTTTGGGAACCAATGATAGATTTTTTAGAAAATATTAAAATGTAGCATTTAAAAACTATTGAAATAAAGACTGCCTACAGTTTAGGAGGCTATATCTAGAAAAGGAGCCAGAAAGAATCCCACTTCTCTGCCCTCCAGGAGAGCACATACCATATCCTTACAAACTCAGCCCAACGTGAATGACAATATAAAGCACATTAGAAGATGGTCTTATGCTTGGTATGGTGCTACAGATGGCAGCATTATGTATTTTCCTTGATTTTATTTTTGTTCAGTTTTTGGCTGGGGCAGGGTTTGAATGCCACCTCCTGTATATGGGGCCGGCACCCTACTCCTTTGAGCCACAGGTGCCACCTCTTTCCTTGATGTTTTTTACATTAATAAGTGCTGTGGTCTGAGTACTGGTGTCACTTCCAAATTTGCATGTGGAACCTGACATCCAATGTAAGAGTATCTGAAGAGGCAGGCGTCTGGGACGTGATTAAGTCATGGGGATGGGGACCTCCTGAAGGGCATTAGTGCCCTTACAAACGGGCCAGCAAACTTCCCTGTCCCTTTGTCACAGCTTCCTGTGGGACTCCAGGAGAAAGCACCAGTGACAGCCCCCACCAAACACAGACGTGCTGTCCCCTGGATCTCGGACTCACCAGCCTCCTGAACTGAGAGCAAAAATTAGTGACATTTATAAATGACCCAATCTAAGGAATGTTGTGACGCCAGCCTGAGCGGACTGAAGAGGGGAATGTGAAAGCAACCGAAGCTCGGTCCTCACACTTCTTTACATTTCACTCTGTTTTCTGTAGCACCAGGGAATCAGACGGATCTTTTCATTTGTGCCTATTGGAAGGTGAACGGGGAGGAAACAAAGTCTTTTCTCATCTTCACTTAAAAAAAGTTTGTGAGATTATTTAGTTCTAACTCATGTGATAAGCAAAAATTACAGGTGAATATTAGCTTACAGTTTGAAGCATTTATGATGTAACACAGTGTTTATTCTGTTTATAATAAAAACTAATTATGAGGATGGTGTTTCATTTTTCTTTGAAATAAAACAAAGGAATGGGTTTCAGTCTAATGATACTGACTCAGCTATGATATAAGATCAACTATGCTTAATATCTAAAACTAATAAGTATGGTGACACAACTCCAAATTTCACACCATTTCAAAATTTTCTAAGGTTTTTTTCAAATACTGACACATCTAGACTTGTGCCATTTTTCCTGTAGAAATAGCATACACATAGTCTGTGGTAACAACACCTAAAAAAGCAACTATCTTTAGCTACTACAGCATCTCAGCAACACAGTTACGTTGGGATTTCATACGTTTGTTGCTCACTGAAAAAAAGAGTATAATTTTAAATGAAAATAATGTTTTGGTTTTTTCTTAAAAAAATTCTAATATTTCAGATTTTTTTATTTTATCCTTCATTTCCCCTGAACTTATAAATTCTAAACATTAATTAATACTTCCTCTTTTTACATGTCACACATTACACAATTTTAGAGTTGAAGATTTATTTAGAATCCATTATTATTTGGTTGAAGAAAGAAGAAGATTAATATATTTTTTTAAAGGAATCTTCAGTATGTAGTTAACTTGTTATAGATCTTCAAATAAATTTGGAAAACCTAGAAAGTTGTTTGGGTCTGTTTTCCCAGAGATTTAGACATGTTGGCCATATGCTCATTATAATTTATTGCATTTTACTTCATCGCTATAAATGGAGACATAATTTAACAATCTATGCTTTGTGGGCTGACTACAAATAAAAAGGATGACAAAGAAGGTTATGGAAAGAAACTTAACTAGAGAGCACGGGCTCTGACTCGGCCACTAACATTCTCCCCAGATCTCACATTCCTTCTCGATGAAGTTAGAGGGTTGAACTGTGAGATTCGCTTTCAGGTCACTCACACCTCTGGAATTAACTTACATATCTACAATTTGATCTGCTAAAAATAATTACAAGAATATGGCACAATTTCTTTATTTAAAAACTTGAAAAAGTATTTTGTAATTTTGTCTTCTCCATTTTTTGATTGCTTAATATGTACAAGTTTAAGAGGTAGAGTTTAGATATAGGTTTTAGAAGACACCTGGCATTTTGTTAAAAAAAAAAAAAAGTAAAGTAAGCTTGTGTGAAGTTTCAAATAATGACGAATCAAGTTAAGAAAAAAAATATTTATTACATAGAGAATCGAAGCAAGTTCTACTCTGAGTCCTTACAGCAGAAATTTCTAACTGCTCACCAAACTCCATGCTCTTTTCTTCTTCCTAGGATAGACTGTAATTGTCAGGCTTCCTGGGAGTTGGGGGTGGTCACCACATGACTGAGATCTAGCCAACAGAATCTGAACACTCCTCACTCCCAGTGTTTCCCACAGGTGTCTCCCATTATCTCCTCCACGTCCTTTTTCTCTGAAATGATTCACCCAGATGATCTTTGAAGTCTTGTATTAATATGCCAAAAACCTACAGGGTCCCTGGTTGCTACAGGTATCAGTTCTCACACCTAGGCCTGTTGTGTGGCAAGGAGTAATTTCCCATGTATTTCATCCAAATACATGTTTGGCTCTATTTTTTCAGTGCTGTTGACCTTCTCTAATGCAGTCCTCAGATAGAATACGGGACATATTACACTCAGATTGCCCTCATTCTGCTTAGTGGCCAATATATGTAATCACCTACTACATAATTCAATATGCTTGCACTTAAATTTACTAGCTCAAAATATGTAGGTACACTTAATTAGACAAGGGGAAGAGCAGCTTCATCAGCAAATTAAGAATTCTATGAGATAATATTGGTGAAAATTCCACCTAGCTTGGATGTGTATTTGTGTAATTGGCTGTAATGATATCTGTGATTACAACTACTGATAACGCAGGGGCAGTGTGTGGAGTCCAGCGAATGGAACACTAGATTAGCTCAAAGTCCTCAGCCCAGCTGGGAGCCCACTTAGGATCCCCACACAGTTTTTCTACATTTGCATCATCAAAGGGAAATGTTACTAACAAAATAAAAATAATTAGCAAATTTAAAGACCATTGCATGCATAATCAAGTATACCTTGTTAATATTTTAGGAAGAAGTAGTAGATGGTATCTATCTTCTCTATTGCTGGAGTGGGGGTAGACAAAAAAATGATTTAGGAATCAAAGAAATAACAATGCAGAAGAGAGGCAAATGCGAACTGTTGGAGAAACAGACGAAAGTTGTCCACGGGAGCCACACGGCCGCTCCTCCACCCCACCACAAACAGGCCCTTTTTCCTCCTTTGCTTCCTTTTCCTCCAATTTACTGGAGCTTGTGGTAAACATATCTTTAGGCATACAAAGAGTATTTTCATAAGAAGGAAGATTAAAACCAGACTGGATTAGCTGATGCAGAAATGCTCTGATCTCAGCCAACTTTGTTTTCACCTAAGATCCAGAATTGCTTTTTAAAAACCATTCTGAATTCCTGTGAATGTTAACTCTTGAATCTACTGAGAAGGATGGTTTCTGTACAAACAACCTGTTTTACTCTGAGTTTTCTTTAAAGGTAGTGGATTCCCCGGGGCTTGAAATTTAGATGGATGACAGCACCAACCTCAGACTCTTCCCAGCCTCTCACTCCACTCTTTATTAATTGAATATTCATTTAAAGCCAACAAACAGCCTGCTACGTGCTTCACAATATATTCAGAAGACACTGTCAATGTCCCTTAGGGTAGATTTTTAAAGCACTTGCTGAAATGCTTAATTAAAAAGTTTACTAGGTTTTATCTATTATCTTTATTATTCATTATTAAAAGACTTTTTATGCTCTTTGTGGGAAGATCCTATGATACAAATTGGAAACCCCAACGGTCCTCCAAGTACTATAGAATAGAAAGGGAAAACACGGGAGGTATGTCTGTCATGCCATAGTCCATTTGATCAATTCCTAGAGGACGAAAAGATATGGTTAAGCCGTGTCTGAAGAGACAAAACGGGGGTCACTGACATGCAGCCCCATGAAATCAGGAATGTGGCAAGTCCCACAAAAATGTACTCCTCTCTTCCTTTTGCTCCTCCTCTTCTGAAAGCTTTCCTGGGCTCAAATAACACCTTGAAAACACCTCTATTCATAGTAATTACCACAACAATAGTCACAGTTTTGCCATAATGTTTCATTGATCACTGAACGTAGATCTTTCAGAAAATGAAGTACGCTTTACCCATCTTTATATCCCTGTGGTCTAACGTGGAACCTGATGCAGAATAGACGTTCAATAAATGTCCCTTAAACTAAATTAAACGACAATAAGGTCATAGTTCTAAAAACAGGAGCACTTGTCCTGTGTACTAAAACTTAAATACAACCATAATTTTTAAAATAGTAAGCATTCTCAAAGGTTAAAAGATAGCAGCAAGGTGGAACAAAATCTATTAAAGTGATATTTATAGTATTTTTGCTCATGTTTTTTTATTAATGATATATGTAGACACAAGAAGTTTACTGCTGTCCAGTCAATAGTTTTGGATAAGCCAGTCTATACCAAATGAAATAGATTTTAGCCAGTAAGAAAGCAAAGGCATTATATGAATATCTCTGCTTTTTTTTCTCTGATTGGTAAATTACCTTTCTAGAAATAATAGTGTTATTTATAATTTTCATTTAAATAAATTGATGGAGGGCTCAAAAATCTCTTTCACCTAGTTGGTAATTGACAGGGGTCAACTATGTAATCTCTAGGCTTTCTTCCAGAGTAAACACTTAAAAACTGAAAAAAAAAAAGAGCCCAGAAATACTTTTTTGCAATATGTACAGTTTCACTACAACCATTGCCACAACCAGTCCTTCCTTTCCCACACACTTTCTTCATTTCCAGACATGATTTCACAAGAAATCAGTCATCATCTTAAAAATAAATAAAAAGGGTCCTCTAGGTAATTAATAGCTTTAAGAAGCAGAGTCATTGATCATAAATTGGAAAAGTTAATGTTAGCTTATTGGCAAAAAGGAAAAATTCTTAGCTTTATAGCCAAAGTCAACTAATTTTTTTAGAAGACTATCAATGTAATAATTTTAAGCTATCATGTATTGAGGACTTACTGTATACCAGGTATAGTGTGGTGAAAAGTCGGTCTGAACTTGTTTCAGTTTACTATCCTTAAGAATAGTACCACTAAGCTTTGAGATCACTACTGTCATGCCCACGACTTTAAATCGAGGTAAAGTTTACAGATGGCAAGCACTTACCAATCTCACCTTGCGAACAGGCTAACAAGCGGTGTAGCCAGAATTCAAATCCAGCCCTGACCAGCCTCCTCCTCCTCCTTCTGCCCCACAGGCCTTATCTCAAAGTGCCACTTGGAGTTAGTGTTACATGGTTTCTTCCTTTCCTCCTTTCCTGTTACTTTCCACAACACTTTCAACTGCATTTAGCACATCAGTCTCTATACACAAATAAATACCAAATATAGTCCTTGCATGAGGTAGGAAGGAAAGCGAGCAAGGCCAGGGAAGAAGGGTTATACGGGAGGAATTTAAACCTGGTGAGCAGGGGAGCCACGGATGAAGTGCAAGAACAGGTTGATGAGAGCTGGTGGGAGGGAATTCTGACTGAGCAAACAGCGAGTTCAAGGAGCCTGAGAAATGCACAATTTGGGAGGCTGGAGGAGTAACAAGACCTTGGTGGCTGAGGTGGAGACAGCTGAGAAAGAATAGCAGAGGTGGTAGCAGCTGGATCGTGAAGAACTTCAAATAGTAAGGGCTTCTGATTTTATTTTTTTCATCATAAAATGTATTTGTTATTGAAACCGAGTGATGGTGTCAGTATTCATGGTAAAGAGGTTGCAGAAGCCAAGGCTGCTTTTACATCGATTTTTAAAAATGTCTTATTTCGCTTGTAATCATAAACATTATTGTAATGAAAGAGGCACAGTTTTCCCTCCTTTGTGCCTTCCAGGTTGCTTTATCACCTGCTAAGTTAAAATGAAATAACACTCACGGGTTCAGAGAAGAGAAGACTAACAGAGAGAGCCAACGTGCCTCCGTGGGTCACTCCACCCAGCACTGCTGTCCCCAGACCTGCACTCCAACTGACTCAGCCCCACCTTCAATCCATCTCCTAGTTTTGTTAGTTGGGGATTCACCAGATGATGGAACTTGGTTAGTAAAGAAAGATTTTATATCCAATACAAGTTGAATAGAAAATACAAAGAGATGGCGGCCTTCCTATATCACCCTACTGGGCATGTGATACAATTCTGCTTAATTCACTCTGTGCTGCTTGTAATGTCTTCTTTTTTTTACATACACTTTTTAAATTTTGAATTAATATTGGGGTACAAATGTTTAGGTTACATTGTTTGCATTTGTTACCTAAAGTCCAAGTTGAGCCCTTCACCCAGGAGGTGTGCCACATACCCTTACACTGTGCCGGTCAGACCCTGGCGTGGGCACGCACACACGTACACACACGTACGCACGCTAGTCCTTAAATGCACTGTTTATTTAACAGAAACAAAAAGTTTCACTTCTGAAATTAATGTTGAAGAAGTCTTGCTTGTCAACAGCTGGTTTTCTCCTCTCTCCTGAAGCATGCGGTGTGGGGATGAGAGACAGTTCCTGCGCTGCTGGCCAGAGGGCGGGTCGGCTGAGAGTCTGGGGTGCTCTGGGGTCACCCCGAGAGTTTAGCCTGCAAGTCAGCACAGACTGGATGAAATTCACGCAGCTTGAACGTGGCTTCCGCCTCCTAGAAGCTTCCTGAGGGCAGCGCGCAGAGCCCCCCCGTCCAGCCTGCTGTTCCTTGTAAAGCGCGTCCTGCGTTGCTGCGCCGGCGTTTCCCTCCCAGCAGATGAGCCAGGTGCTTTGCCACAGAGCGTCCCTCCCCCTCGACACCCTCGGTGACACCCTCTGTGTCTCACAGGCAGCAGCCCTCGCGGGGTCCAGTTCTTCATGCCTCTTCAGTCACGCTGGATTTTCAGATTCTTCTTGGTGCGCTCCCATCCCGGCTCCTCGGGTGCTCTGTTCTTACTTCTCCATCTGACACGGGGGCACCACAAACACCAAACTCTCCCCGAAACGTCAGAGGCTCCTTCCTTCCTCAGTCACCTCTTCAGAACGCTGTCGCCCTGCACGGCGCCGAGCTCTTGCCCTGGTTCACCTGGAAGGCGACTAGGTGGCACCAGGTGATCCGGTCCACGGCGCCCGCTCCTGGCCCTGCAGAGACCCGGAGCAGACCCGGGAGCGCTCACGCACACACGTACGCACACACA